TACAATCCTACGAGCTAACAACTTCTCAATTCTACTGGAATTCTATCGACCTCAGTGCAAAGTGAATCCGCAACACAAACACAAATCCTATTGTAAATCCTTTTCGACATAAATTACATCATGTACTTCCAAGATCAACCAGTATACTAGGAAAGCTTTTTCCACAGAGACAGCCGTAAAGCTGACAACTGAAAATACCACGTCACTGATCTTGGAAACTGCACAGGAACCCCCCGCCCTCACAAAACCACTAAGCACTACTGCTCGAACACTGACGACATCCTCTCCCTCACAGGCAAAACCTCCAGGCCAACGACGGTGACAACAGCCCTTCCTACCACATACATGACAACAAAAAGGTCTACAGCAAAAACAACGAAACCAACAACTCTTGTCACCACCCAAAAAACTATACAGCTAAGCACTCACAGAACGACAGCTCCAACAACTGTGCTCCCTACAACAGAGGTTACTACAGAAAGAACTACAGCACATACCACCGTTAAGTCATCCGCACCGTCCACCTTTGTCACTACACAACTAACAACACAAGAAACCACTCAAAAGTCCACTTTACAGCTTACAACAGAGTTCACCACAGGTAAAACGACATTGTCACCCAAAATAATTTCTGGAACATTTTCGGAAACCAAGACTAACGCTACACATTCACAAGGAACCCGATACAAAGTGATACAGCGATTGTTATATGGAGTTCTAAAACTATTCATCTTCTAACAGCACCGCATAGAACAAAGCCACACGCATCACTAACAATCCATTACATTGTGTTTCAAAACAGGTAAAACCACAGAAGAAACAACAGTACCAACTACTCTTGCTACAACAGGGAAAACTACACACGAGACGACAACGTTCCCAACTACTTTGCTTCCAACAACCGAGGTTACTACAGGTAAGACTTCACTTGTTATGTTTACCGAAGGAAAATATATTGTTTTTGCTCCGTTTCTTCCTCTTTTTCTTCTCCAAACAGTGACCTATGATCTAACCAATAACATGATTTGTTGACGTCTGTCACAATGGTGATTGGTGTTGGGTTACATAATGTTGCAATTTCATGGTCTGCTCTGCTCCTGTCACCATATACTAGTAGTACATGTATGTGAATGTGTTTGAGTAAGAATTAACAGAGCAGAACATGTCCGACAGTAAACATTATGCATTTGCTTTGAAAATGGTACATCTCTGATCAAAATTAAATGGGCATTTCTAGTTCTCCATATACCCTTTATTTAATCCACAAATCAGCGCTTTCTTTTGGTAAACAAAAACATACAGTATCAATTTGACGTAAAACACCTTTAACTTGAGGAGTGTTCAGCTGGATGGAACTACCACACTTCTGATCAAACTCATTATTCCATGGCAACATCTCTTATACACAGTAACTTAAATAATAGTAACTTCTAATTCTAATTTCCAACCTACTGATCATTAGGCAGCAATACAAGAATATCTTCTACAAAATGTTTTTCTTTTGTAGATTTAACGACTTCAGTTACAACAGAGGGCCCATCGACAGAGCAAACTACGGAGGAAACAACCTTCCAGTCAACATTCATCCCTACCTCAGAGATAACTACTTCGGTAGGAGTTTAGATTAATGGGTCCTAGTTCGCACAACTGCACATAACCTTGCTGCAATTTGTTACTAACCAAAATAAGAATGCGTTCATATGCGTGTCAGCTTTCCCAACAACCGCAATTCCTACCTCCGGTGTTTCCACTTCGAACACTACATGTACATGAACACTAGATCAGATGTACACACCATAGCACAACATTGCTTAATCTCATCACAATTTTTCCTCCAGAATTTCCACATTCGTTACTTGACTTAAGCCAACATATTACAATATATGCACCGTATCTATCTTCACTTATTATCACTAGATAAGCACATTTTCTACATCTCCTTTGCCGGCAACATCGCAGTCGACAATTCAAACCACAGGGAAATCATCCAAACAACCTCCAACAGCAAAATCTACACAACAGTCGACTTATTCAACAACAATACACACATCAAAGCAGTCCACGAATCCCACATCTAAAGTCTTTATATATACAACTCAGCAAACAACAGCTCTTCCGACAACCGTAATTTCTACCATTGATTTTTCTACTGCACACACGCCACTGAGACCAACAACTATTGAGCCTACCTTACCAACAACACAGCTTACAACAGTTAACCCGGCTCCGGTGCTCACAACATCACAAATAACAACGTTGCCTACAACTTTAAGCACTTCAGAACGCTCAACAATAAAACCATCGGAACGCTCTACACTTGAACAATCTACAGCACACGCAACCATCAAAACAACATTTCTAACTTTCCTTCCTACTGCTGAAGAGACTACCACTAAAAAGATAGGACCGTCAACTCTACAAACCACACAGGTAGAGAAGCAAATTTAGTCGAACTTGTGTCTGAAAAAGTAGCATGCAAACTTAGGTACCAGCATGCAGTACATATATTTTGATTAATGCCGAATTCTTCCTTCTAGCAAACCACCATCTCAACTTCACTAAAACCAACAACAGTACCGTCAACGATACAAACAACACAACTTACAACAGAAAAGTCGTCGGTTGAAACGACAAGGCAAACAACATTGCCTACAACAATAAAAACATCAGAACCAACTACAGCATCCTCCACCATCAAAACCACATTTCCAACAATAAGCCCAACTACAGAAGAGACTACCGCAAAAACGACAGGAAAATCAACCCTACAGACTACACAGGTAAGACCAAACTAAATCAGTGAACATTGAAGTTCAAAGAACATTACGTCAAAGTTTTTTTATATGCAATATACTCATAACATACATTCTCACTACTCGCTTGCCTTTTTACTAGATTACAACTAGCTCAACTTCACTAAAACCCACAACAATGCGGCTTACAACAAAGAGTTCATCACTTGCACCAACATCAAAACTCCCTACAATACAATCAACATTGCCTACAACTATACAAACATCTCAAAGCTCCACGCTAGAACCAACTACAGCATTCACAACTGTCAGAACAGTACTACCAACCACAGCCATTCCCACAACAGAGAGAACGACAGGAAAATCTATCCTACAAACTACACATGTAAACACATCTTGATATTTCAGCGAGTTAAGAAACAGTGAATAGTGTGTTGTCTGATTACATCGAAATAAGAATATACATCTTTAATCGAACCTAATTTCCTCTTATTTCTAGAAAACAACCGTTTCAACTTCACTAAACCCAACAAGATTACAGTCAACAGAAAGGTCGACATTTGAACCGACATCGGTGCTCACAACGAGTCAAAAAACAATTTTGTCTACAACAATAAAAACAACAGAACGCACTACAGTTAAACCATCCACAGCATACACAACCATAAAAACCACATTTCCAACAATAAGTCCTACTACAGAAGAGACTACCGCAAAAACGACAGAAAAATCAACCTTACAAACTACACAGGTAAAGTCAAATTGATTTAGTCAATGTTGAGGTTCAACGAACAGTATCTCAAAGGTTGCTTGGATATTTAATATCTTCATCATTACATATATTCTTACTACATTCCAATCATTTCCTTTTCTTACTAGATTACAAATAGCTCAACTTCACTAAAACACACAACATTGCAGGTTACAACAGAAAAGTCATCACTTGCACCGACATCAAAACTCACTACAATACAATCGACATTGCCTACAACTATACAAACATCTCAAAGCTCCACGCTTGAACCAACTACAGCATCCACAACTGTCAGAACAACAGTACTACCAACCACTGCCATTCCCACAACAGAGACAACAACAGGAAAATCTTCCCTACAAACTACACATGTAAACACATCTTAATTATCTAGTATATACACAAACATTTAACACTATATTGCATGAGTGTCTAAAATAGGAATATGCATCTTTAATCAAACCTACTTACTTCTTATTTCTAGAAAACAACCATTTCAACTTCACTAAAACCAACAACATTACAGTCAACGATACAAACTACACAGCTTACAACAGAAAAGTCGTCAGTTGAACCGACATCGGTGCTCACAACGGGTCAAACAACAACTTTGCCTACAACAATAAAAACAACAGAACGCACCACACTTAAACCATCCACAGCATCCACAACGATTAAAACAACCGTAATACCAACCACAGTCATGCCTACAACAGAGGAGACAACTGCACAAACGACGAGAGAATCAACCCTACAAACTACACTAAAGCCTTCGACATCACGGTCTACAATACAAACAACACAGCTTACAACAGAAAAGTCGTCAGTTGAACTGACCTCGGAGCTGACAACAAAGCAAACAACGACGTTGCCTACAACAAAAAGAACAACAGAACGCTCCACACTTAAACCATCCACAGCATACACAACCATCAAAACCACATTTCCAACAATAAGTCCTACTACAGAAGAGACTACCGCAAAAACGACAGGAAAATCAACACTACAAACTACACAGGTAAAGCCAAACTAAATCAGTGAACATTGAAGTTCAAAGAACATTACGTTAAAGTTTTTTTATATGCAATATACTTATGATAACAAACATTCTCACTACTCGCCTTTTTACTAGATTACAACTAGCTCAACTTCACTAAAACCCACAACAATGCGGCTTACAACAAAGAGGTCATCACTTGCACCGACATCAAAACTCACTACAATACAATCAACATTGCCTACAACTATACAAACATCTCAAAGCTCCACGCTTGAACCAACTACAGCATTCACAACTGTCAGAACAACAGTACTACTAACCACTGCCTTCCCCACAACAGAGAGAACAACAGGAAAATCAACCCTACAAACTACACATGTAAACACATCTTAATTATCTAGTATATACACATTGAACACTATATTGCTTGAGTGTCTAAAATAGTAATGTGCATCTTTAATCAAACCTAATTACTTCTTATTTCTAGAGAACAACCATTTCAACTTCACTAAAACCAACAACACTACAGTCAACGCTACAAACTACACAGCTTACAACAGAAAAGTCGTCAGTTGAACCGACATCGGTGCTCACAACGAGTCAAACAACAACTTTGCCTACAACAACAAAAACAACAGAACGCACCACACTTAAACCATCCACGGCATCCACAACGATTGAAACAACCGTACTACCAACCACAGTCATACCTACAACAGAGGTGACAACTGCACAAACGACGACAGAATCAACCCTAGAAACAACACAGCTTACAACAGAAAAGTCCTCGGTTGAAACGACAAGGCAAACAACGTTGCCTACAACAATAAAAACATCAGAACCAACCACAGCATCCTCCACCATCAAAACCACATTTCCAACAATAAGCCCAACTACAGAAGAAACCACCGCAAAAACGACAGGAAAATCAAACCTGCAGACTACGCAGGTAAGACCAAACTAAATCAGTGAACATTGAAGTTCAAAGAACATTACGTCAAAGTTTTTTTATATGCAATATACTCATAATAACATGCATTCTCACTACTCGCTTGCCTTTTTACTAGATTACAACTAGCTCAACTTCATTAAAACCCGCAAC